ATTCCTCAAACGTATTTCGCAGAACTGCCATTGTGGTACTGTACAACGCTTCGGTGATCACTCTCAATTCTTTCTACAAGACCTCGTTGCCAAGGCCCTAAATCTAATGGAAGAGCCCCGCATCACCATACAAACTGTTAACGATTTTAAAGAATTACTCGGCGGTAGTCCATTCGATATACACGTCAAACATTCACCTGATGTTACGCCCCTACGCCTACCTGTTTTAATTTCAACCAATCACAGTCTAGGCACCTATATCAACTCCGTCGACGCTGCCGCTATATATGAACGCCGCCACACATTCAAATTCACTGTTCGTGTCGGCTCACCTGAACTGCGTAAACCAGGGTAAACACTTTGTGCCTGTCATTTTGCGCATTGGTGTATGGCTCTTGGTGGAAAGCGAATTCAGGCTGATACGACGGACCAAGATGAAGAGCACGGCGACACGGGAACTACCACTGCTAAACGACTACGACTCTTTCGACCCTCTTACGCTTCAACTACCATTACCATTACAAGAAAACAGCATCTCACCATCAACCAATACAAGCCAGGAACTACAATCGACGTTTATTCCATCACATGCCTGCCAACATCAACCTTCGAATTCTGGGCACTCGCTGGAGACCAACGCTATCATGAACCATACGCCACATTACGTCACGCATTCCCCATGTGCTCTTTTGACCATGCTATTATACGCCTTAGCAACTATATTCCCCTCCAAAAATCCCTACAGACAACTGCAGCATTTGACGTCACATCTTTTAATCAGTCACCGTATCTATACATCGCAGAGGACGACAGTGGTTTAATACCTATAGTCAAAACCAACGTCACTGAAATTGCTCTCCTCAACCAAGACTGCAAAGTCCAAAGCGACACATACTGGACCAATACATACGACCAAGGTCTACTAGCCTGTAACAATGTACAAATATTATCCTCAAACGGAATTTACTTTAAAAAGTTGGATTTCGGCTACAACAGACGGTTCCTGTTCAAAACTCCCATTGATATATTAAATGGATACAACTATATGCCCGGAGATTACTGTTCAACAACAAGCCCTTATCCCATGCCACCCTTTTGGCGACAACGTGGAATAGACACTGCTGTACCACTCAGTGGTAACATTGCCTCTGCATATTCATTTGATACATACAATCACACCATCAACCCCATTTTCCTTTTCCTCCCATATATTGAACCCGTATCCTCATCCGAAAATAGTGTACGCATGATGGCTCACGTCCTCCTTGAAACACAACTCACTATGACCCTCTACACACTACAAGACAATTATACGGCATTGAAAACTAACACTGCAACTTACCTTAACAATAATACATGTAATTTACTATCTGGTGCTTATACTGATACCACCCTTTGCTTTCCCACATATAGACGTCACGCATAAAATGTTCCTACAAATCTACATGTCTTGTCCTCTAAGAACCCCAGCTCGGCTGGCAACCGCTCGATTGCCATACATTAATGTTACTCCTCCTCATCACCACAACACGAAAAACTTTCTGCTGCTGCTCCTCCTCACCTCATCCGCTATTTTTAGTAAGTGTTAGTCCATTCCGACTAAGTTGCAATTTTGTTTAGACTGAGTCGCGAGCCAGACTAGGTCATTCGGTCATGGGGACCTACGGTCCGTGCGCAGCTTATCGGAGGTACGGAGTGGAGTTTCGTAAACTCTGTTGATAATGATCGATAAATACATAGACGTGGTAGGAAGAATTTATGGGTGACAGAAAAAAGTAAGAAAATGGAGGGTTGTGTCAGTGTACGAGCCCGTATTAAGTGTTATCTGATGTCCAAACATCAAGTGTGCTGGCAATGTTTCGCCAGCCGTCTTGATGCGTAGTGAGGGTTAGTGTGGGTTATGTTTCTAGTAGTTCGTGTCCCATCATTCGAAGTATATCCTCGGATGTGGAAACGGGTTCAATATATGGGAGAAATAGGAGAATGGGATTTAGAGTGTGGTTGTATGTGCCAAAGGACCATGCAGTGGAAATGGTTGTGGGGTGTGTGGCAGGAACGCTTTGGTTGAGGGATTGTTGTTTCCAGAAGGGGAGGAAGGGGTAGCGTGATGTATTGGCGTAGTACTTATCAGGCATGTAACGGTATCCACGGGGCACCGGTAATGGTGTTCTGGTGAGGAAACAGGGGTGGTGATCAAAATCAAAGCGTTTAAAGTATACCTCATTGGCGGATAGGGTGTGGACGTCGTTGCAGGCAAGGAGACCTTGGTCGTAGGTAAATTGCCAGTATGTGTTGGAGCTGACTTTGTAGTCTTGATTCAGATGTGCCGCTTCGGTAACGTCGGTGGGAACGGTATTGAGTAGTCCGGTGTGGTCTTGCGCTGTATACATGTAGGGAGCGCTATTGAACGCCGTAACATCTGTGGCCGTAGTACCTTGAAGCGACTTCTGTGGCGGGATATAATGTGATAGACGGAGAGTAGCGTGGTTAAAACTGCACAAAGGAAATGCTGCTCGTAAGGTTGCAAATCGTTCCGCGTACTTTTGTTCGCATTGGAGGGTCCAGAATTCGCAGATGGAGATAGGTAGACAGATAATGGAATAGGTGAGGGTGGTATCTGCTGGTTTGTATTGGCTGATGGTAAGGTGTTGTTTCCTTGTAATGGTAATCGTAGTAGTATTATAGGATGGTCGAAGGAGTCGGATGCGCTTGGCAGTGGATTGTGCGGTTTCTCCGGGTGCGTCATCCTCTGACGTGGAATTGACAGCGGTTTTCTTCCCACCAGCTACCATACCAGGCAGAGAAATGACACGCACAGAAAGTGGTCCGTGGTTCTGGCAGTTCAGGGGTTTCTATTTGAACAGTGAACTTGTATGTGTTGCATCGGGCATATATAGCAGCGGCGTCGATGGGGGTGATGTATGTACTTAGGCTGTGATTGGTGGAAGTGAAAACAGTTACGGGACGAAGTCGTACATCAGGGGAGTGTTTAACGTGGATATCGAACGGTGTGCCCCCTAATAATTTGAAGTCCTGAACTGTTTGTATGGTGATTCTTGGTTCTTCCATGAGGGCAACCGACTTGTCAAAAAGGTTTTGTAGAAAGAATTGGGAATGATCACCTGAGCGTTGTACGGTGCCAAGCTGGTGATTTTGACAAATGAACTTAAGCATGAGAGACTTGCCAGTAGTCGTTGGATCTTGCAGGCATAGTGTATTGACGCGGTCCATTTTCTTGTTCATTATGTTATGCACAGAAGTGCAAAATGCGTCTTTATCGATGTTGTTAACACGTAAAAGGTCGTCGAAGGACGTGGTATGAGTGTCTGTGGGATGTGTGTGTGTGTGTCATGGTGGTTGTTTCCCTGTATGTATTCCTCGTAAGTCATAGAGGATTGAGGTCGTAAGAGTTCCTCATTGTACACTTCGATACATTGCTTGGCTGTCTCTTCCCATTGAATACCGAATTCGGTATATAGGGTCAGGCGTTGGTTACGAGTGAGACGTACTTTTAGATCTTTAATGTGAGTGGCATGGTGGGCTTCGATTAGGTCCATTAGGAGATTGACATGTTTAAGGCGATTGACATTTTGATGCTGTATTCGGCGAGAGTCACGCAAGCTCAGCTTGCAAAGTTTGAGGCTAAAAGAAGCAAGAATACCAACTTGGACGAATGGCACCGGGAACGAAGGTAGTCATTCAAGGAGGAACACCAAGAATACAGGAAGCAAACGGAACGATCCAACGTTATACTATCTTACCCGCATTGGGTAATGAGTGAACGGCTTCGAGTACAAGATCCGGAATTCCACGACAAATGGTACAGTGAGATGCAGTCCACCGGCATCGAAACACCTGTTCCAAAAACTAACAAATCTTCCGCTGAAATACACGCACAACTTATACGTCATGTTTTAAGACGAGCAGCTGCATATAACGTGGACTTGGACGTTTCACAACCACGTAACTAACCCTCTTCCATGATTGGCGATATCTTAGAACCATCCACTAGTGCTGCTCCAATATCATCTACCAGCATTTCGGCCATCAACTAAACCGATCTAAAAGAAATGCTTGACACATTACCACAGTCTGTTACACCAGTTTCCCATGATATACTCCAAGGCATTTCGCTTGCTGCCGAAGACGACAATGTCTTTCTACAGGACGTCGTTCAAAATATTAACCCTACAGGCAATCTATGGACCTTTATATACAGAGGACCTAAATCAACCATTCTATCAAATAACCGTATCAATGCCATTTTAATACGACATGATGCTCACTATCATGCCGAGTTCCAGTCAATGGCACAGAATAGGAACTGAAACCTCCAGCATCTCCTAGTTCTTATTTCGAGAATGAAGGGCGGCGAAATACTCTCTGGCCCGATGATATCTATTGGCTGCTCTCCGCGTCTTGTTTGTGCAGCTATGATCCTTTGCAGCCACTCGACGACTCAAGTTTCTCTCTCCAAAATTCCTGAACTGCCATTTTATCCTCCACCGCAGTCGCCATTAGGGGGCTGGAACACTTCTCTTCTGATGTCACCCTTGCACGTCCCTCTCTCAAGAGTACGCCGCACCAACGGCAGTGGCGAAGAACATTCTTTGAGCCAAAGGAACTAGAATGCTCTACGAGAGCCATCCGAGACCCCTTAGCCCACGTCTTTGGTAATAGCAATGGAGGGAAGCATCTTTCGGGTAACGTATCTACTCCAGTACTTTGGCTCGCACCATCTTATCTATCTGCCGCATTGTATTCCGATGAGCCTTCCATAGAACCATCTCATAAAGCAATTTGGGAAATACGAAGTCACGCACCATATCCAGACGTTGTTTCGGTTTCAAAGGGGCACGAGAAATCTCGTTGAACCACTCAGCAAGAACAGCCGTGATTTTTACCTGGCATCTCCTCTGCCAGTTAAAGCGCAAACCAAGGTAACGGATCTCATCCGCCACCAAAACCGGTCTCATCTCACCCCCCCCCCATCAGGGGATAAGCTTGGGGCACCAGGACGATGCATTTCTGTTTGCCGAGCGTTTGGACCGTAATGGCCTGACACTTCGGGCGTTCAGCGAGATATCTCTCGCCAAAATAGCCTGCTGTAATGCCACCATCTTCACAGACAACGCCTCTTGGGAGGAAGCGAACAACACAAGGTCATCCGCGTATGCTAATGCACCCATCTCCTCGCCACATAGCCGCACTCGTCAACTAGGCAGGGGGTGGTAGCAATCACCTCGTCCATTATCATGATGAAAAAGAGAGGAGACAGAGGGTCCCTCTGCCTCACTGTGACAATCCAACACTTCGTCGCCAAGAAGCAACTTCGAGGAGATGCATAACACACGCAAATAACGCTGAAGCTCTGGTGCGGCTCCAAGTGCTGCTGCGGCTCGAATGATTGTGTCAACTGACACAGTGTCGAACACTTTGTCAACGTCCGTTTTCAAGCAGTCGGACTGAACCCTTCTCAAAATGCACCGTACGACATATGAGGCTTTAATACACCCATCCCGCTTATGAAACACGACTTGAAGTGAAGTCAGAGTCAAACGTGACCTCCACCTTTTAGCCAAAACTTTAATAAGACCCACATCATAATCGAGGAATCCGCGATCGGGCGATAATCTGACGGTGTGCTGGGGTCCGACCCCTTGGGCACCAATGTCAGCCGTGCTGTCGCAAGAGATGCAGGAGGACACTCAAGCACCATCATAAGATTGAAAAGCTGTGCGATAATCGTCACTTCCAAGGATTTACAGTCCGCCACCGACATCTTATCTGGTCCTGTGGCCGTACCTCCGGCATTCCGCCGGGCATCACCGACATCTGCTTAGACAATGGCTTGACCAGACCATAATCATGGCCTTCCTCTATGGGAACCGGTCTCTCATCCACCGCACTTTGCACACCAAATACAGATCTCCAATACTCAATCATCGTCTGATCGAGCCCCCTGCGTTATGATTTGTACGCGATCAGCCAACTACCATGCAGGATAGCCTGTACAGCATCTTTACGTTTCGTATTCCAGAGTTTCTAGATTACTTCATAGTTAGCCTTCCAAATCGCCCGCATGCCACCAACAGTACAGATGCTCCGTTGCCTCGGGGGATGTTATTTGAGTGGAAAGAATTGCTCAGTAATCTCGCACAGATGCACTATACCTGCACATTTTGTTAGCGTACCGTATTGCAACTGCTCAGCAAGCTGACCAGCCAAGTCATCCCCGTGGGAAAAGCGCTTCAGTTCCGTAATGATATGGGCAAGTATTTCGATAGACCATTTGGCATCTTTCAGACCAGCCTTAGGAGATGCACCGTCCTCCTTCAGCGGCGATTTGATCGCTTCCAGAGTCAGTTTGTGAGAGGCACCCTCTTCCCCGTCCGACGGTACTAAATCAACCAACTCATCGAACACCCCGTCCGGGTCAAAATCTCGCCGAAGACCCTCCAGGAATGAACGGTACTGTTCCTCATAGGAGAACTGCAAGGGCTTTGGCTCAAGGGCCGCTTCGTTTTGATCTGGATCCCGGTTAGTGGTCGTCCAATCGGATACCAAGTCACTTTCCGTCAACACCGCACCAACCTCAGGAAGCACAACCGGAAGAACACGGACCACCACCGGTGAGTCCCAAAGTAAATCTCTTTATCTAGGCCTCCCTCTCGGCCGGTGCAGCTTCATCAACTGTTTCTTGATGTCTTCGACACTCCGCTCAGGAAACTGAACAACGAGCCGATGATAGACTTCCACTTTATTTGCGCACTCCGGAAGAAACTGGCTTGCTTGCGCAAACAACCGTGAGGCCTCTTCCTCGAACCAATCTTTTCGCGCCTTGACACCATACTTAACCTCTCCTCATTGAGCACCACTGGATCTTGGTCAAGCCCACGCTTGGTACCGAAGGCTGCACCACAAAGGCAGACATACCCATCCAAGACATAAACGAAATCACCAGAAATGCTATGACCTGCCTCCATCTGATCTTCCATTACCGTTATAGCATCCAAGTCAACCTCACGCTCCATACCCAATCGCTCTCCACTTCCGGACGCCACTGGAACCAAAGAAGGGATGACAACGGCATGATCGCTGCGGTTTTCAATCAAACTTGAGACTTGGCCTGCATTTGACTTCATGTAAGGTTTAGTAACCGCAAATTGACCCAAGCAGCGTGCTTAGCCCTACGTGGGTTGTCCTGGATCTTGGTTCAGAGATGAGCAAGCCCATCTTCTATCCAGCGGTAGCCACGTGGAGGCACCCAGGACGTGTAACTACTATTACCCAGCTTCCAACCGAAGACGGTGACCCAGACGGATCACTCATTAAGCCTAGTAGCAATTAGAAACAGCCGGAGCCTCAGGCAAAGCAATAGGCAGCAGGGACGGAAGATAAGAGAATCATAGTTACTCCTGTGCGTACATTTGGTGATTATGTTTGTTATTCGGCAGTACCGGTCCTAGGTACAGGAAGATATGGACAGGTTAGGCATGAGGGAGACTATATTGTTAAAGGGTGAATCTGAACAGCTAACCCTCTCGAGGAGAGTGGAATAGAATGTTGGATCTACCGAGCCAAATCATTTACACCTCAGAAGTCTGAAGGCAGTTAGAGAGCAGCAGACCGTCAGAGGAGACTAGATCAAACCAGCGTATTGGGAGTTAGGCATCCAATGGAAGAAGAAATGCAAACAGTGGGGACAATAAGGCAAAGTGTAGGTTGGGATGAAGACCGTATTAATAAAGGCTGAAAAAAACACTAAGGCTCTCGAGGTAATGTGGATAGAGCGCTGGGTCTGCCTAACTTTGATGTGTAACATCTGGGTGTAGTCAGAGAGCAGGAGACTGTCCAGGCTAGATTAGAATGATTGGCGCATTGAGCGTAACACCTCGAATCGATGGAGGTGTACAAATAGGGGGCATCAGCAGAAAGATACAGGATAAGGATGAAAGTGGTTCCGTTGGTGCGACATGTTGCAATGTCTGTCACACATTCGTATAGTGACGGATGAATAATTCCGGATACTTATGGATAATGTCCTGTAAGGAGATACCATTCTTCGCGTCCTCGATTAGTTGCTTTGCAGTCGATCTGGCTGAGATGCGTGGTTTGTCTACGTTGCTCAGGATATTAGACCATGGTCCTGCAATTCTGGATTCGGATTTTCGGCAGTATTGTTCAGCTGCAGCCGGGTTAAATGCGAACTCATGGTGTCATCCAGGAAATAGTTGCTGTATTGTGGTGGCTCGGACGGCATTTCTGAATCTGACGAACAACTGAAAATGTCTTGTTGCATTGATAGCCCCACGTTCCCCCTGGAACGTGTTTGAACTCCACTTGATTCCAGTTGCTAGATGATTGCATTTGTGGTAGCTGTTGAGTGGTTCCATATAGACATCCACGCTCTGGGTCTGCCAGACATGAGTATGAGTTTTGTGGTGCACGTATTCTTAAGGGCTTGTGGTGGCAACGAATGTTACTTAAGTAACTTGAAATTCCCATTTAAGTCTCTAGAACAAAGACCATCTGGTGAGCAAATGCTTTCAATGATTCATCGTCAGACCATTACAATCAATAGAGGCTGACCGTCGTTAGGTATCTTGAGGCATTTGTTGACAGATCTTATTGTAACTTATTCTGGTTTCGGACGAGTGACCGCCTAGCAGCCGCAAGTTTTCCCTTGCATTTGCCTCCGTAAAACATTATCATTGCTCTGTTCTGCCCTGTACACCTATTTCGTTCCGAAGTGAACTGTATGCGTAACGGAGAAAAAAATCTCACATTAGTCACTGTAAGTAACATAACAGGAATTCACGACAGTCCGTAGAATCTTGGTTATTCTGCCTGTGTGGACAGAAATGCGGTGTATATTACTACAGATTTCTGATTCGTTAAAGCAAGAAAGAGGAGTTATCGAAATTACTCGAGAATGGAAAATATGCTTACTGATCTAACAACTGCGGTATATGAGCTGCATTGTAATAGCACTGGTCATGATGCGGAATTTAAACAACAGTTTGGTGAAGGCGAAGCATTAATATGACACTGACCGGGCCAGAAAATAGAAGTCGTTTTCTTTCCTCAGGTTAAGCACTTCAAGCATGATCCAAAGAAGTGGTTTAATAGTGCAAAGTGCTTGAATATAATCTCCTTGCTTCGCGTGTTGTGCGGATGCGCTCTCTGTTGTCACTGCAGGATTTCAGGAAGGATATCCGGTCTTGTGATAGGAACGCACGCAACATCACCTGTATGCATGCTGGTCCTAATACTCGCAAATCCTTGTCTTGTATAGCTTAGCAGCCCGCTACAATCCGAGTTTCGAACTTTTACAAATAAGAATGGCCTCGTGGAATGAGGCGGCTACCCTACCAGCACGAGAGTCCGTCGACCGTCAACTGGGAGTCAGAAATAAGTCCGAACAAAACATGTTTCGGACTGTCAGAGGAATGTTCAGCAGCATTTCCACTGCACCCCCTTTATGTTTGTGACGGGGAAACTAATCTCACATTAGTCACTGTAAGTAACATAACAGGATTTCACGACAGTCCGTAGAATGTTGGTTATTCTGTCTGTGTGAGCGGGAATGCAGTGTATATTACTATAGATTTCTGATTCGTTAAAGCAAGAAAGCGGAGTTATGGAAATTACTCGGGAATGGAAAATATGCTTACTGATCTAACAACTGCGGTATATGAGCTGCATTGTAATAGCACTGGTCATGATGCGGAATGTAAACAACAGTTTGGTGAAGGCGAAGCATTAATATGACACTGACCGGGCCAGAAAATAGAAGTCGTTTTCTTTCCTCAGGTTAAGCACTTCAAGCGTGATCCAAAGAAGTGGCTTATTAATGCCAAATGCAGGGTGCCAATTTGCCGGTGCCAATCAGCGACACATAAGTAGTTTAGATGAAGTAAGAATATTCTGGCAAGGCTACTCTGGAAATTAGCCTATTTAAGTGTATGTAGATAAGGAATTTGTTAGTTCAGTGTGCGACGGGATACCTAAGTGGCGTCGGGCGAAAGCGCAATTACTACAGCAAAGTGCTCGCTGTAACGATCACTAGGGTCGTTGTAATGGTACCTGTTGTACAGCACAGACGAAGGAGGTGCTGTTGGATATTATAAAGCACCTGGATAATTTGCTTTCTCAGTTACTTAGCTTTCGTGGATACATAGTATCGGAATATGAGAGCCGCTGTCACTCGGCAGATATACCGCCGTTCTCGTATCTCACGGGTTCGGAGGCGTCAGTTTAGGCTCAGATTATATCGCCGTAGACGCAGGGTGCGGTTTCGCGGACGAAGAGGACGCTGTATTGTTTGCCATAAGTTCCTTTACAGGATTGATTGCCTCGCTACGACTGTTATGTTCGAGATTGCTCCGAAGTTGGATTATCTGCCTGAAGCGAAAGCTATGCTGTCTATGTATGAGCGATTCCGAATAAAAGGTATGAACGTTCGTTCCCGGAGCGATATACGCGGAGGAACGGTATCCCTGAATCCTTTGAATAGCGCGTGTGCGCGTTTCGGTGTAGCAGGATTGCGGTATTCTGGCGATTATCTTGATTGTAAGGATGCGGAGTGCATTCGTCTTAAGGACTCTTATCGCGAATTTGTGCTTCATCGGGATTTCGCCATCTCACGCAAAACTCTATGGACGAATGGCGGTACGCCTAACGCGAAGCGTAACCCGTGGACTAACGATACGAGTCTACTGCCTTGCGCGCTATTCATACAGTATGTGAATATGACTACGAAATTTCAAGCCCATTGTCCTACGATCGGAGCGCTCTATGTGACTGTCTACATCCAGTTTCGTGATCACCGCCCACCGCGTGCGGCCTTCGCAGTATAAAGAACACGTGCGGTATAAATAAAATATTAAGTATATTCCTTAATAACGTCAATGCGTCTTAGTAACGATCTTACTCTTTTGGTTAACTCATTACCATAGTAGATAACAGGATCGTAGTTGACGGACGTGAATTCTACTGTGTGCCCTTTGCAGTACCTGTCAAACAGGTACAACAGTGTTTGAAGGGGCCATTGTCCGTTGTAGTCATCAAGAACGACCAACTTTTGTCCCTCGTAGCCATCCAACTTTAAGGTTTCGTTCTTCCAGTAGAATGACCTGGTCAGAAATGAATGCTCGTAGGCGAATCGGGAAATCCCGGTTCCCGATTCCCCCCTAATGCCATTCCGCAATCGTCTTCGTCGATCTCGGCTGCGTTTGCGCAGTATACCGCAGTGTCCGTCGCACATTGGTATGGTGACGGAACAAAAACTCTGGACATTTAAGTATCATGTCCGATAAGGACCTGCCATTCTTTGCATCCTCGATAAGTGCCTTGGCTGTGTCTCTGGCCGATATGCGCGTTCCGTTTGTGTTCCCCTGGATATTAAACCAGGAGCCTGCGATTCTTGATTCGGATTTTCGGCAGCATTTGGGTTGAATGCAAATTCGTGATGACATCCTGGAAATAACTGTTGGATTGTTGTTGCTGGTACCGGATTTCGAAACCTGACGAAGAGTTGAAAATGTCTTGTTGAGTTGACAGGACCACGCTGCTCCTGGAACGTGAACTGGGCTCCTCTGGATTCCAATAGTTGGATAATGCCATCAGCGGTTACAGTAAGCTTGTTCCAGGTGCACAACCAGGCGCGCGATCGGCCAGATATCAGTCTGAGTTTTGCGATGGACGCAAGAATGTACTCTTATTTGCATCTGGGCATCAGGTAGAGCGGGTGACTTTGTGATTTCGACTTGGGTCGCATTCAAATGGCTATGCACAAGCCGCGATGCGGTTTCTTGGTTGATTTGTTGATGTCCAGTTGCTTCAGTCAGTTGCATCACACATTGCAGCGTCCATTGTCCCTCTATGGTGTCGAACTCACCATTTGAGTCGAGGACAGCAGAAATGCTGCATAAGCAATCTCTCATCCATACTAGTGTCATGCGATATAGAGGGAAAGCTATCGGACCTGCTCACGGCCGATTCTTTCGTGTGTTTAGCCGTTCACCAAAACATCTCCCTTCTCAATGTATTTGTGAGAACCTAAACGCTCATTCGCCTCTGTTTGCGAGCTGAATTAAGCCGTGAAGCCTGGGACGAGTGAACAAATCTTTCGATCTGGCGT